AATGGAAATAAATAATTAAATGGATTTATTTTAAAATTAATATGACTCAGTCTTTGCCCACGCTGTTTTTTTTTTTTTGTTTGTTTTCAAATGCAATCTTTAAATTACACATGTAAAATAATACATTGAAATCTTTTTGCGCTTTGTAAAATAAGAATGAATTTGCTACCGGTTGGCCTAATTAATTCGGTCTCATGAGCAGCGTGCAGAATTCCTTGCCCAGAAACCAATGTGTTGCAGAATCATTAACTGAAGAAGGAAAAGGAGGAACTGCAGCGACTCGAATCATCAATTTGTTATATTGTGACATCGCGCTACTTTTATTTCCTCAATTTCAGAACTGGACGGCGACAAGTATGGCAGACAAAAAAATGCTTTATCTGTTTACATCAATTCATGTCGAAGAGATATTTCCTTTTTTGCTGTCGGAGCTGTTGGGGCAATACGGCGTATTCTTAAAGGTTTTCTTTATCTTATCTTGATATCCATCCTAAGATGCACTCGCACTAGTGGAACAGTTTAGCGCACGAGTGGAATGACTTCTCAGGCCCCTGCAGAGCTTGCTGATGACCTGAACGTTTGAATCAAGTGTCTTGGAGGAGGGAAACATGTCGGACGGTGGCCCTCGAGGCCCGCAGTGTGACCCCGCCGCCCTCGGCGAACTAGCTTACCAATGTTTTTTTTTTTTTTTTCCCCACTACTAGTGTATAGTATACTTTACACTACAGCAAAGGCTTGTGTGTTGAAGTAGAGCCTAATATTGTGGACCGGGACGGCCGTCTTTCTTGAGCTGGGGTGAGTGGTGACTCAGCCGCAAAAGAGAAGTACACGCGCCAAGGGTGGGGCACCACCTTCCTGTTCCAAACAAAGCACTTGAAAGACCGGCGCGGTCATTGTTGCATCTATTTCTGGCCCCCTTTTCCTCAGTGCCAACCGACACGTTCTGATGGACTTTTACCATAGGCGCCCGGCTAACGGCCGAGTATGAACGCCTGTGGATGTAGTGCAAATATACGGCGTCCGTATCTTCCTAAATCGGGATTTCCAAACGTTGTCTGCGTGCAACCAAGAAACAGAAGCCGTCCGAGGCCTCTTCCGCTTTTAATCTTCGATGTCATTTTCATTCACACATTCGTGAAGGAAGTCACACAAACAGTAGGTGGGGAGGAAGTGAGGGCGGAATATTTCCCGGTCATTTTCGTTACTCCTGTCTCGTGCTTCGATGGAGCAGGTGAACCTCCAGTCTTCCGGTTTGGAGTTTGAAGGACAGTACAATCTTTGATGATTGAAACATCTTTGATGCCGCATTGTGTGTGTGAAATTTTTTTGTGGCTTCCATGCATGGAAGAACCACCGCCGTTGTTGTGCTATTTTTTTTTTCTTTGCTGAGGTATTTTTGGTGTAAAAATGTGTCAGATGCCACAACTTTGTGGGTGATCAATGAATGAAAAAGATTCATTTAATGTGCCACTTTTTTGTGGGTTCAAGCAGTCTTTGACGCCACAATTTTGTGTGTGATCTAGACATGAAAAAAAAATTAATTTGATGCTCCTATTTTTTGGGGTTTCTATATGTGGAAGAGGAGATATTTTTTGTGCAAAAGAACTGCCTTTGGTGCCACAATTTTGTGTGGCATCTATGAATTAAAAAAAAAATCGATGCACCAGTTTTTGTGGCTTCCTTGCGGAAACGTAGCTGTCCTTTGAATAAAAGAACTGCCTTTGATCCCACAATTTCTCTGGAATCTACACACGAAATAACTTTTGATAAAGAACGGTCTTTGATGTGACCATTTTTGTGGATAAGAACCGCCAAAATCAGCTTTTTTCCCCTCCTACATTCCAAAACCCTTATTTTCACTGAAATCGAAGAAATGTTTTTGGGTATGAATGTGAGCGATAATTCTTGCTTGTCCATACTTGCTGTGTGATTGGCTGACAATGAGTCCAGGGTGTCTGAAGCGTCTCGTGCCAAGACACCTGGGTGAGGCTGCAGCTGACCCGCCACTCTAATGAAGAGGGTCACTACAAAAAAAAAAAAAAAGGATAGATGGGTATTTTTAGCTTGGCCAAGACAAACGCCAGGGCCACTTTGGTGACTTTTGAACCTTGACAAGTCTTTTGTGTGGCCGTCCGTCGCACCAGTGGCCTGTCACCTCGGTTTAAGACGGCCAAAGGATTACTGTCATCGAGTGAGCGGAGCCTCCGAGAGGAAAATACGCAGCTTGTCCACAAACTCGGAGCGGAACGTTAAAGCTCGCTCAGGCCCCAAGTGAAGACGGTCATTAAATGTTCATGTGAGGTCCAAGCGCGCCTTGCAAAATATTTCCCACAGGTTTCAGATGCTCCAACAGGACAAAATTCGATGCCCAAAAAAAATAAAATAAAATAAAAAATCCCAGGATTTTGTGGGAGTTCTGCATAAAACTGGGGAATTTTGGGGGTGCGTCTATTTATATAGAAATATACTCGATCCTCCGTGACCCTCGTGAGGATAAGCGGCTTAAAAAAAATGAATGGATTTGATTAGTTTTTATCTTTGTCTCCAATGTGAAAATTTTACTGGGGTTTCTGAACGAAAAAGAAAAAACGCCTTTGAGGCGGCAGTTATTTTTGAAGGAATCTCTTCGCCTGTGTTTGTTGTTGACCTAGGAGTCATTTTCCAGAAGCCGTCTTTGATACTGCAAATTTTCCCAGGCTACAATTAACAGTGTAAAACGACAAGTCTGCTTTGTTTTTTGTCATGCTAATGCTCAGGCGCTCTCATAGCTTGATTATGTTCACTGAGATGGGGGTGAGGTGCGCGGTGTGTGCGTGTGTGGGCGGGGGTGTGGTGATCTGGGGTCATGTGACTGCCGGGTTTACCTCATTTTGTTTATTAGCCCGGCGCTGCTTCTCAATTTGCTCGGAGCCTCGCACTGGTCTTCAAAATCCATTTTTTGTCGTTGCGTTTGCCGCAACGTGTCTTTCGAATTGGCGCCGAAGTCAACTTTTCTGGCCTGCCGATACGAAACATGTTACAGTGCGATAATAAAAGTGAAAATGAGGTGGGGGAGCACATAGTCGAGACGTGCTGTGTCTCGTGTGTCAAATGGACGTTGCTCGTATCAGCTTAATAGCAGACATTTCCTCCCAATGTAACTTGTTGAGCCATGAGGGGGGTGCGTGGGGGATATGTTTCATTATCCCCCGCAGACCCCCGCCACTGTCATCCCCCTCCTCCGACTGAGCTCCCTCCCTTGATAATATGTCATCGTAAATGACAAGTAGAATTTGTCGGCATCGGCCCTTTCCTTGAGTATTTGTGTTTCTCAAGATCCGTCTTTGATGCGATCATTTTACAACATTTTTTTTTTTTTTTTGCAGGATTTTTAGGTGAAAATAACGTTTTGGGTGTGGGTATTATGTTGCATTTTCTGATCTTACGGGATCTTAGTGGAAGAGCCATTTTTGATGTGCCAGTTTTCTGTGGTCTCTGGATGCAAGAAATGTCTTTGATGCTGCCATTTTGGGGGGATTTGCTGTGTGTGAAAAGAACCGTCATTTGATGTTGGAATCTTACAGAATCTTTGTGCAAGATTTTCTGTGATCTTTGTTTTGCTTTTTACGTAATCGCCCTTAACTGAATGCGCCCTCGTATTTAATTGTTGAACCAAGACATTTGTACATAGCTGAAATTCCCGCCTTTTGCTGCCTTCAGCTCACAGGAAGCGGACTGGTAGATGGTACAGGCTGGCATGACCCTGATGGAGCTTGTCAGCCTAAACACGGCTGCTGTGTGCAAGCGTGATAACCTTGCATCCCGTTTTCAATGGTTAAAAAAAACAAAAACAAAAAAACAACTAAACAAAGCAATACAAACCTCCCTTATTTTTCAATGGTTAAAAAAACAAAAACAAAAAACAACAAAACAAAGCAATACAAACCTCCCTTAAAAAAAGCGCAAGCAGAATGCGTGTCTGTGTCTTGTCAGGCGAAGGAGGGAGAGGTTAGACTGATTAGATAAGGTTTGTATACGCAAAAGAAGCTTTGTTTATTACCTCCCCCAAAGAAGATACAGTCCCATTTGTGGGTTTGTCATGACATTTTTCCACAGCCGACATTTTGACAGATAGAAACAGCAAATGGTAGGATGGAGATTTTCTTAAAATGGTGCTTCTCAAACTGGGGTCTGCTGACCTGCAGCTTGGGAATCGGCAAAATAATTGGCAACAAACGTTAGGGTATTCAAATGGGTGGATTATCTCAGCAAAGGGGAAGTGCTCACTATAACAGATTTAGATAGTATTTGAGAAATATAAACCTTTTGTCAACATCAAAATGTCTTAAAGCTAACCCTGCCCTAAAAAATGGTGTTACTGGTCAATATGACCAATTTTAAAGTTGAGAAAGAAATAAGAAGAAAATAAATGTACCCTTGAATCTGCCTGATAGCACTGATTGACTACTTTGTATAAGTATACAGCTTTCCGGGCTAGGTTTTGATCTATCCTGGGCTCATTTGTACTTTGTTCCTCCACCGGACCAAAAATCGCTCATGACGTCAAAATCCTTTTGTTTGTTTTCACAACAGCACACGAGTCCTGCGCCCTTGACTCGCCCTGAAGGTGGCACGTCATGGGAAATAAAGTCATACTAAGCCATCTGCTTTGCATTGTTCGAAGCAACATGAGTTGTAATCATTTGGATGTTACTCAAAGGCCTCCTATAGTGGGAGAAAAGAGCCGAAGATAAACCTCAAAGACCCTCCATTGTTCCGCCTGATCCGCTCAAGGAGGTGCTTGTTGACATAGATACATTGGCCGACCACATCATTAGGTACACTTGCGCAGTTGAAATCTGTCTGTTTGAAGAGAACGTTCAGTGGATGAAAAGCGTTAAGCCACGTGAACGACCACTTGTAAGTGCACTTCAAGTGTTTTAAAAGAAAATCAAGAAAATATACCTATTTGGAAATGTACAACAAAAAATGATCAAACTTACGACTGCCTTTCTTTTTGTTATTGTAAAACGTAACATCATTTTTTATTTCTTTCAAAAAACATTTACACACTCATTTTACACACAAGCACGCAGACACGCTTTAAAACATCACCCAAACAAAGCGCGCTTCATTTCCTGCTGACAAAACTGAAATTCGAAGTGAATTGACCAGTCTCTATTCTTTGATGTGATGTGATAACACATGCAGGTGTACCTAAAAAAGTGTCCGCAAAGCACGTATGGTTTCGCTCAACTGCCGCACCAAACCTCCACACAGGAACTTGGCACTCCCCGCCCGAGCGGAGCGAGACGCTTCACTTCCTCAATCTCAGAGGTGGGAGTAAAGGCCCGCACGGTATGTGCCGTCTCAAGATTTAACCTTCGACTTTCAAGCGAGTGAGTCCCAAGTTAGTGTGGCAAAAATAAAGCAAGTCCAAAAGTGTTCTGACTCCCCTCCAGGCGGCCGCACGTCAGTAAAATCCACAGCAGAAGGGTGGAGAGGGCCTCATAAATCCACAGCGGCGGTTTCCCTTGGATTGGATTTTGGATTTGAGAGCTCGTAGAGGGTCAAAGAGAAGCGTCACACCGAGGACTCGTGCAGCATTTTGGCTTTGAGGTTCCTCAAGCTGCAGTGCAAGTTGGAGCTGGATTCCGAGTGGAGCGCCTCGGACAACTTGGCGTCGCACGGCCGCCCCGCCAGCGACTTTCTCTTGATGGAGTTCTGGATGGTCTCCGAGGTGAAGTAGTAGACGATGGGGTCAAAGCAGCAGTTGGAGACGGCGATGCACAGCGCCACCGGGTAGATGGTGCGCACCACCGACTCGGCGAAGCAGCCCTTCAACGTCTTGGTGCGCACCAGCGAGTAGAAGACCAGGTTGACGTTGTAGGGGATGAAGCAGAAGCAGAAGGTGGTGAGGTGCACGGCGATCATGCGCAGGATCTTGGTCTTGTTCAGCTTGCCGCCGCCCCTGCTGACCTTGTGGGGGCGGCGCAGAGTCTGCAGCACCCTGACGGAGCAGCCCACGTTGAGCAGCAGTGGGATGACGAAGCCCACCGTCTCGATGAAGATGACCACCTTGGACAGGTGCGACTTCCACTGGCTGGAGGAAAAGTTCTCGAAGCAAAAGGTGGCGTTGGCGCGCTGCCGCTGCCGCGACGTGGTGTCCAACAGGAAGCCCGTGGGCAGGCTGCCCGACAGCACCAGCGCCCACACGGCGGCGCACACCAGCTTGGCGTTGCGCTTGGTGCGCAGCGTCCGCGAGCGGAAGGGGTGCACGATGGCCAGGAAGCGATCCACGCTGATGCACGTCAGGAAGAGGATGCTGCCGTACATGTTGGTATAGAAGAGCGACACGGACACCTTGCACAGCACGCTGCCGAAGGGCCAGCTCCGGTTGATGAAGTAGAAGACGCGCAGCGGCAGCGTGAAGACAAAAAGCAGATCGGACGCCACCAGGTTCATCATGTACGTGGTGGTCTCGTTGCGCAGCTTGAGCGAGCAGGCGAAGATGTAAATGGCCACCGCGTTGGTGATGAGGCCCACCACGAACACCACGCTAAACACTGTGCTGTACAGCGGGTACTTGAAATCGTCGTTCTTGCTGCAGCTCCAGTTGCCCGCAGAGACGTTGCCCGATCCCGGCGGCGGGACGGTGTTTAACATCGTGGCACGCGGGAGACACGTTTCCACGCAAACAGAGACTACGTTGAGCAAATGTCCACAGAGTCTTTGATTGCGGTTACCGGCGCCGCCGTATGGGTTACATCGCCGATGCTCGGTTCTGACGATATCCCGTGTGAAAAGAGTTTCCGAGGTGGTCCCACAGGCGGGTCGGGGAGACCTGAACCAAGAAGGCTGGGCAGGCTCTACTTCTGTGCCTTTGGCAGGGTGGAGGGAGCTACTTTCTGCCGACAGTCAACCCGAAAACGTGCAAGGTGGGACGGCAGCTGTGCCAAAGGGGGATTCAGCAACGCCAAGTTCATAGCAGTCACCGGCGCAAACGTCCCCGATGCTTGGCCCCGAGGTGCCAAATTTGCCAACCTCCGAAGAGAGGTGGCGGCTCCCAGGTGTCAAGTTTAACACCGGAGTCTCACTTCTCCCAAGGCAACTGTTGAGTTTGTATTTTATTCCGGACACTCGTGCGGACTTCCCCGCCAATTTGGTGCGACGCTTGAAAAGGGGCGAAAGGAGTCGTAGCAGATCTCGAGGATAGCCCTTGTGACAAGGTGCCAAATTTTACTCGGGAGCACCGCACAGCGTCGGCGTAGGTTCCTGAGGATTCCAAATTTGCCAGCCCTTGAGGTAGTTCCCAAGTATTACGCAACATGCATTGTGCTGCAGTCTTAACGGGAACGTGCACCGGTTTAGGGTCAAATGGGTTTAAAAAAAAAAAAAAGGATGAAGTGGGCAGAGGGGTAAACACAAGAGAACCTGGTTCCGAGGATTCAGACCTCTCGACTTCCATCCAACGCGATGCCCATCCTAGCGGACGTCCAAGAGTTAGCTCTCAGTGAAGACAGCCGTGGGGGTAGAGCCGCTGTCCCCCTTCGTCGTCCCCCCCCACCGCGCGCCTCGAGGCTTGGAAGTCGCACAAAGGGAAGGCTGGCATATCCCTCAAGATGAGAACAGAGAGCACCCAAATCGGGGCTTGTGTGTGTCTTGTATCCTCGTCCGCCTCTTCCCTCAAAAAAGAAATAAAAAAAATCGGAGCAAGTCACTGCGCTCGTGTCATTTTTTTTCTACTCCGGCAGGTTTCAAGTAATCTCAGTGAGGAGCTGCTGCTGCTGCTGCTGCTGCCCACTTCTCTTTTGTGCCGCTCGCTCTCTCTCTCGCGCGCTCACTCACACTTTTGTACTTTGACTGGGTCCACTTCCCCGCCTCCTGGACCCTCCCCCTCCTTTCCCTTTGTCTGCTCCCACGGGACTAACAAATGCTACAGACTCTTCTTTTTTACATTTTATTTGACAGTGATCTCACGTTTGTTACCAAGCTAATTGGGGGGGGGGGAGAGAACTACAAAAATATGGAAGCATGTGAATGATATTTACCAATATGGAATGATAACGAAAGATAGAAAATGATGTGAAACGCTATTGAAAGAATGATTTTTTTTTTTAATGTGTCATTGGATGAAGAATTTTTTTTTTGGCAGGCCGTGGGAAATTTTTGAATGTTGCAAAGTGTTCCCAAGGTTTATTGAATGAGCTGAGCATTCGAATTTGGAATGGGAGTGACGAAAAAATCTGTACAATCAAGAGTTATTAAATGAAACATGAAAACATGACTGCGTGGCGGAATGGATCTCAAGTTGTGGTGAGTCGCATGTTACAAGTGGCAAGAAGTGCCTCATGCCTTGTCGCCGCCAGCGTGTCAACGGCTGGGGCAAATGGATTAAATGCATGATAATGAAAAAGGACGTCACAAGAGCGCCCGCCGCATCTTTTCATGAATTTCATCGGCTCTCACACACGCTCTCTAATACATTTTCCTCCTTTTTAAAATATATTTCATAGTGGTTCAACTTCTAGTTACACTTCAATGACCATGATGACAAATGTATGATTTTTTTAAATCATACATTTATGTCCAGCATTTGCATACTCAGCTTTTAGAATATTTTTTGGGTGCGAGGCCTCCATTATTCACAGAAAAACTTACATTCTTTGTTTTTGTGCTCAGGCCAAAGCCACGTCTAATGCCCGCGAGCATTTATTCGGGTACAATATTTTTGTACAATCCACTTTGAGTGAACATCATTGAAGTGCATTTTTTTTTTTTTGCTATACTTGAAGTGTTAATCATCATACGGTGTACTGAGGCAACCTGTCACGATTGTCTTTCCCCTAAAAACAAGCTCCTGACACGCAAACATGCGCGGGCCGAACAAAAGCAAACAAAAAAAAAAAAAGCGTGCTCTAAATCCCAAGACTGCTGAAGCTCCCACAATGCCAGGAAGCATGTCGCCCCACCTCCCTCGAGCTCCCTCGTCCATACTCAAGGCCAAGACTGAAGCCTCGAATGGCGAGCTATGTCAGCTGACATAGCTTCATCGGCATCACGTTGGAATTCCTGCGAATAACACGCAGGGATTGAATAGTTCCCACATTTAGCACGTTAGCGTGCAGTTCTGCGTTTGGCTTGCTTTGTACAACAAACCCCCACCCCCTCCTCCAAGCCACCTGCCCCACCCACACATCTGTGCAAACAACCACGCTAACAGCTTTAAACTGTAACAACGGAAACATTTGTGTGGTTTTTGAATCTTCACACATCGAGGCAAAAAAAAAAACCCAAAACAAAAAAAACAAAACCGCAACAAAAAACAATAACCGAACAAACAAACAGGAAATTTTGTCACAAACATGCCAGGCCGTATCATATTGGACCCCCTACCGGCAACCACAACATAAAATGGATTTTAAATAGCAAGGAACCAAATGATGTTGAGTTAAATCAAAAAACGAGCCAGGGGAACTTGAGATAAAAGGTCACAATCACTTCTTCCTCATGTTGCTAAAAAGTCCACACATCCCTATTCAAGTGCCAGGTTTCTGTGTTTTTTTTTTAATAATAGATGGACTGATGCAAAGTGGAAAAGTGTTCTGTGGTCTGACGAGTCCGCATTTCAAATTGTTTGGGGAAATTGTGGACGTCGTGCGGGAAGTTGGAAAGCCAGCATCTGTGATGGCATGGGGCTGCGTTCGTGCCAATGGCTAACTCAAGACATCTGTGAAGGCGCCATTCATGCTGAAAAGGAGACACACGCGTTACGCTGCCAACCAAGCAACATCTTTTTTGAGCGGGACAATGCCAAACCATCTTCTGCATGTCACAACAACATAAAAGAGTGCTGATCCAAGACTGGCTTGCCTGCAGTCCAGACCCGTTGAAAATGTGTGGTGCGTTATGAAGCGTATAAAATACGACAACAGAGACCGAGGACGTGTTGAACAGCTCAAGCTGTACGTCAAGCAAGAATGGGAAAGAAGCCATCCGCATTGCTTCAACAATTAGTGTCCTCAGTTCCAAACGTTTATGGAGGTTGTTAAAAGGAAACGGTGATGTAACAGACATAAAATGCTCGGTTAATGATTATGTACTAAAAACAATTTCGTCAGTTTGAACATGACATATTTTGGTCATGTCCTCAATACAGGTTGAACGTGATTTGCAAATCATTGCGTTCTGTTTTTTTATTCGTGATGTCCCGACTTGATTGGAATCGGGTTTGGGTTCAGAAGCAGCAGACTGCTGCTGTCTTATGCTCTCTTGAGTTGATTACTTCAGATGACATTTCGCCTAGAAACACTTGAGACTTCCTCATCTCTATGTCGAGGCGTGAGCGTGTTTGTGATGAGTTAACACATTGCGTGTGTGCGTGTGTCTGGTAATAAACGCAAGTGAAAGCAAAGTGCGAAATCCTCAGCACCTTTTGCGTGCACGTTCAACATAGTGAAAACATTTAAGGCGACGGTTCTTCCAATTGTTCTTGTTTGGAATTTTGGCCCAATGACGGCAAGAAAGGAGACATTCGATTATGGTTTTTGCTTGTCTTTTTTTTTAATACAGACTACGTGAGATAATAATAGTGCAACTTGTATAAAAGTGGAACTATTCAGTAACATTTGCAGTCCTACCACGTGATTTGTTTTTTATTAGTATTTTTTTAAGTCGGCGTCACAAAAAATTATACAATAATAAAATGCATGCGAGGTACATAACACAAAGGGTTGTAAAAAATACCCTGAAGGGCAAGGGAACCACTGTGACAAACAGTTGCGTGTGTGTAGGTGGACATCACACCATTAATAGCCCCTTTCACACAGCCGCCTTTGTCCGTTAACATGGAATGGCGAGGGGGGGGGGGGCTGCCGGAAAAGCTATGAATGCCTTGATTAATATTGTTACGGCTCTGATGTGCCAACATGGCGCAGTGGCGTGCAAAGGATGGTTGCTGCACGGCCTTTTTCACCCCTTATAAATAAATACAGGAATGCCTTGAGATCCGAGTGCGCTTCAGACGCCCGCCGTGAGACGGCGGCAGCACACTTCACAATATCTAGCCGTCGGCGAAGCGCAAGGACGGACAACACATCAGGTCTGTTTCAGGGTCAAGATTCCCATGTTTGCAGCTTACGTGAACAGCAAACTGCTACTTTGGTGTGCTTGAATACAGTACGATACTGTTTAGTGCAAATTTTCTCATGAGAGAGCACCCGCGCACGCATAAAATGGGTGTTTTGGTGGGGTTGGAATGGATTGATTGAATTTTTAGCCATGTTATTAGGGAGAAATAATTTCAGATGGACACCAGCGCCATCGAATTAGCTAACTATGGAATGTCGTTTTCCCTGGTTCCTGTGTAAAAGCAAATAAATGCCCGGTCTTCCGTTTACAGCTCAGATGTACCAAATTTGAGCGTGTCAAAGCCCCTTTGCGCAATTCAGGTCAAAGATTTGTCCCACATTTTTGATCTGAATTGAAAAACTCGGTGCATCGTGCCTGAAAGCCGCGGGAAAAAAATTGCATCTTTGGAAAAGGAAAAGAAAAAAAATCAGATGTGGAATCAGAATCAGAAACAAGACGCAAAAAGCCTTCAATTTTGCACCCAACTGTGTGTCACCAGAAGCCATTTTTTTTCTTCAAGGGTCTTTGTAAATGCAAAAGCTAATTATTTATTTATTTATTTTATTTTATTTATTTATTTTTTTTTGCAAGTTTGCTGTGTCTCTGTGTGAAAAAGGCTACTAATACTGTTAGCTTGACTTATTTTACCGTCCGCAGTAAAACGTAACATTCGTGACACAAGAGCAAAACGATGGCAAAGAGACACTCCCCTTCTTAGGAACATTCTGGCATTCAAACAAACAAAAACCACAACAACAAAACACCATCACTCAATACTTTTGCAGTTTTTCCATCCGAATTTTGTGTTGCACACTTTGAGTTTAGCAACACGTCGCGTCGTGACAAGCTGGGCAGAAGTGAACTCTACTGGAAAAACACAGCATAATGGAGACCAAATAGAAAAGGATAACCCATCAGTTAACCCCCCTCCCCCCCAAAAAAGAAAAGGTAGAAATAAAACAATTTGGGCATTTTAATATTTGTTGCGTTGACCATTTTTGTATTTGAATATATGTGTAATTCTCTTTAGTTTTATGTATCTGTTGCAACAATTGTTTGAAAGTTTACGATTACCGTAGCTTTGAGGATAATATGCGACAGCGAGATAGTGACATAATTTAAGCTGCCAACAGCCTTCGGGAACACAAATTGTTGGTAAGCTCGGGGAAGAGTGCCTGCAGTGACTACGATGGGCACCGTTTCAACTTTGACCTGTGATGGATGGGAAAGCAAAACAAGAAAATAAACAAAAAAACAAAAAAAAAACACGTTTGAGCATCAGACTGGGAGTGCACATTTCTTTGACCTGTAGTTGACGAGTGAGACAAAATGACTCGGAAAGGCAGCATTTCTTGCAGAAACATATCGAGGGGATATTTTTTTTAGGCCATCGACTCAATTTTTCCTGCTCGCCCACAGGTGCTGCTAGATTATGAGTATTTTTTTTTGGTTTGTTTAAAGTTAGAATAAAAACCTCCCACTTTTGAGGCATATGTGGCAATGCAACCCCAAGCACAAGTTCTTGCCATCGTTTTTATCCGTTTCCCGCCTCCCAGGTGCACTCAAACCACGGTCAACTAAACAGGCAGAATCTTCGGTCTTTGTGGTTTTCATCTTTGGAAAAAAAATGATAATGCTTCGTTTACCTTGCTTGGTCTGTGTCGGACCGCCGTTGGAAAGCGAGTGAGGTCATCACAAGTGGGAGGGGCGGGGCGGGGATCAGGCTTTGTGGCGGGGTCAGTTTCTGAAGGCCCCATGGCGACTGGCTTTGCCGATAAAATTTTTGAGCAGGTCGTGGTCCATCTCGGCGAAGGCCTGGGTCTGTGTGACTGATGTCAGGTGGTTGATGCAGAACTTGAAACAGAACTCCTCCAGGTCCTAAAACGATCAAGACGGCCCAGTCTGGTCAGCGGCAAGGAAAGTCCCGGTCACTCTGCTGAATTTCGGGCATCCTAAAAACGAGCCTCGAGCAGCTGAGGAGGAGGACTGAGGGGACGTCCGTACGGGAGCGAAGCTCGGGGATACACAAGGGTAGATGTTGGTCTCCCCACAAAAAAATGGGACAACAGCAACAGGAAAAAATGAAAAGCAAATGTTTTCAACTGTGTTATACAAGTGATAGCTTACATTGATGACGAAAAACCTTTGGAAATGATTCCTCTTGGTCTCATCGTTTTCTAATCACAAAAAACGGCCATTTGAACAAGGGTTGGCGATCCACTGTACGTATGTATCAATATCAAGGAACAAAAGATAGTTTCTCCCCTCTCACGGATGCCCGCACTCCTCATTTCTCTCCTTACAACTTGAGTAATTTCCTTGACCGCGTCTAAAGCATCGACAGTGTGCGGGGGTCTTCCAGGAGCTCACCCGGGCTTCGTACTTGACGGCGGCCGAGAGCAGAGTGATGGCGTTCTCCTCCGAGATGCCCCGCTTGATGGTCTCCTGGCACAGCCTCTTGAGTCTGCTTTCCCGGTAGAAGGTGGCCAAGTCCAGTAGGCCTGCGAAAGCCGAGAGGAAGGAGCGCGTTTGACGCCATTGGCTTGCCCGGTCGGTGTGCTCATTGCCAAGTCCTTACCCACAGCATCCTCTGGTGGCAGGTTGATGGAATCGGTGTAGAGATACTCCAGGAAGGCTCGGTACACCAGGAAGGGGAACTGGTGGATTTCGATGGTGTCCTCGTCTGTTTCATTTAGCAGCACGCGGAAATATTCACACCTGGAGAGACAATAATGCACAAAGAGTCATGTGTGCGGTTGGATTATAGCTGTCAAAAAAAAAACAAACAAAAAAAAAAAAAAAACGGTGTGACTGTACATATGGGGGAATACAATGTATAAAATAAATTTTTAAAAAGTGATGGTTGTGTATAAGGCCAAAAACAAAAACAAAAAATTGGTGCTTGGATTAAAAAAAAAAAAAAAAAGAGAAAAACTACAACCAAAACTAAAGTGCGATTTTAGTCATACATCTCGAGAACTCTCTTGTAAGTGGATATCATGACAAATGTGGCCTGTATCCGTACAGCACAGGTAGCTGAACAAACAACGACTTCCTCAGTTAAAGGTCAGCTCAAGCGCTTCACTGGGCACGAGATCTTTGCATCGCAGGTGTTTTTGAAGTGCAGCATATCCGTGTTACTCGGAGGCTGCTGCCGCCGCTGCCGAGGCAGCAGCAGCAGCAGACTGTCTGGCTCCTTCCGGCGGAGAAGAATGCAGATGCTCCGTGTGCAGAGAGCGCCGTTATAAAAAGACCAACGCGGAAACAATACGTCTGCCTTGGCCTCTCCTTTTGACACCGGCAGGAAACGCCACTGCGGACACAGGGCATTTTTTTGTTTTGTTTTGTTTTTTTTCAACCACCGCACACTGGGAAAACTTTTGACACTCCCAAATGATCACATCTCAAATGATTATCATGACTCCAGCAAAATATAAATGACAGCCAGAAAAAAAAAAAAAAAAAGTGATAACACTGACAAAAGTATTGGGTCACAAGGGAAGAAATGCAATCTATGTTTTTTAAAAAAAATGTCATAGCTGTGTAAAAAGGTTATTTAAAAAGACAAAGTGTCTGTGAGTATTTGTTGGGGTGGTTTTCATGGCTTACCATTCATCAAGCGTTCCAACAACATTGGAAGCACACAATTGTCCGAAATGTCTTGCTACTTCACACTGAGCGGGTCCTGATTGATTTTTTTGTGCGTGTCCAAACAGTGCTTTTGCTCATGTAACATAAATGTACCTTATTTTTAGCAGCGCTTTGTGCACATGAATGCACTTTCCGTCCACGAGGAACTTCAAATCGGAAATCTCAGGGCTGTCAAACTCCTTTTTTAGCGACTGTGCGACCGTCAGGTAGTCGTCGCCGTCTGTGGCACATGGAAGGGGGGGGGGGTAAAAAAGAAACCAACCAAAAAAGGTCCGTTAAGGTTTTTGAAATCCTGCCAACAACATAACAAATAACGGTTGTGAGCGTGACATGTCTGCGGTTGTGAACTTGCGACTGGAATCAGACGCTATGAGCAGGAAACAGACTTTCCTGTTTCCATTTCTTCGAATGCTTTCACTGTCACAGAAAAGAGACCGCTTGCATGACAGCATCGTGCCACAAAGCAACAATGCTGTCATGAAAAGACTCCCTTCTGTCATTGGTTTTTTTCCCCACTTCATATTGATATGTAACGCATGCAGAAAATGGGGGTAAAATGTTTACGAATAGCCGGATCGAAAGGGAAAAACATGTAATTACATTACAAAAAGAGAAATAAGTACAATAATACCCACGTATACGGAGCACACCGGCTTTTATCGATTTTTTTTAGTGCTCCACAGCTCCCCTACAGTTCGCTGTCAATGAATACAAACTTAACACCACAAACAAATGGGGGGATCAGAGGTTACCATGGCAACAACACTGACACCTATTGTTATTCGTCAACATGATGCCATTGTCACACTTCTTTCCGGGCCAAATGATAAAATACGGATCCATTTGGCGTTGTCAATATCATAAATGGGCAAAATGATTGAGCCACGTCGATAAGTCTCTTGGAATGTATTTCATTCTTTTGTATAAAAATGTCTCATTGGGCGTGCATGATTTTGGCAGGTCTCACACGCGGCTCTGCTAACTACACTTTTTGGGGAAAATAGCCATGCCTCAAAGCCACCTTAGGGTGATTAACGGGTGAGACTGACTCATAAATGCATCTGATGCCTTACCAACGGTTAGGAGGTGCCACGTGACGGCGGGTGTGGCGAAGCAGGCAAAGACGTCGTCGGTGCAGCTGAAATGCGTGACGTGCGGGTTGGTCACCACCTGACCGCGACACTGTCCCCACATCAGCACCTGCCCGCTCTGCGTCTTGGCGGCGGACGTGTGGCTGGTGTGGCACGCCGCCACCTCCACGATCCTGTGAGGATCAAGGCAATACAGCGCTGCCTTGAGATATGAGTTTAAGAACTCACGATACAGTTAACAAAAAAAAAAAAATGTATCAGATCAGTGGCGCAAAGTATATTGGTCTCTGGATTTCACAATGCTGTGGAGCTTAAAAATTGTTGGTGGCCAAAACATGCCTAATTCAAATTAAACTGCACTCATAAAGTAACCACCAGAGGGTGCTGGAACTACACAAATGGAAAATACCTTGAGGGTCCGCTGTATTTTGTTCTTCAATTCAACAAACTAATTACCATGTCAGATGTAGACAATAAGCATTTCAAGGGTTCTATTAAAAATTCAAGCACTTACGTAATTACCATGGTGTGTGGGTGTTTACGCACCTCTCCTTGTCGGTGCTGATCAGCGTGGCGAGTGAGTAATTGTTCTTATTGCCCGTACCCAGCTGGCCATAGGAGTTTGCTCCCCAGCTGTAAACAAAGCCATCGTCCGTGAGCGCTAACGTGTGCGCGTAGCCGCAAGCCACCTGCAAGGCGGGAGAGAAAGGGCCTGGGTGGGCTTGCTGATGATCATTCAAAGGCAAATGCCTCACTCTTACCTGGACAACCTTGACTCCCTGAAGAGCTGCAACCCTGCACGGCGTCTGCTGGTTGCCGGTATTGCCCAGACCTAACTGACCGTTGCAGTTGTAGCCCCAACCGTAAACATGCAACGTACACACACACACACACACACACACACAAAGAAATGCTAAGAGCAATTCAACCATTGCCAATTCACGATTACGGATTTTGTCGACAGCCAAAGAAACAAATAAAAGACCGCCAGGTCTTGTTCAACATGGCGGCTTTCCCCGCTGATTGGTCTATTTCTGTTAGCACTCTGAAATCACTCTGCCAGCCACCCTCCCATTGGATGTGCCCTCTGAAGTCACTGCGTCACTGCTTTCGAACTGAACTTTTTCTCAATTCGAGGTCAGCATATGATTTAAAAGTTGTGATATTTGACAATGTTTTCCGCCAGATTTAACCATTTTCCCACCGCAGGTCATCTCATGAAATGCTTCCTATTTTGAAAAAATTTATCACCTCAGCATGAATGATGCACTGACCCCTGACAACATACAGTGATGTGTGGATTTGCCAATGAGAGCCCAAATCATCAAATTACCTCTCCGTTGTCCAACACAGCCATGGAGCACAGTTGCCCACAGGCTATGTTGACCACCACTTTGTTCTGCAGGCAACTGCTGACCCGGCGCGGCGTGGGTTGGTTGGCGGTGGACCCTGATCCCACCTGGCCTGAGTTGTTGTAGCCCCACGCGTACACCTGAAGGCAGGGGTGACAAGTTTGCCGGTTTTAAAAAAAAGATAGTTGGAATGAAGAAAAAAATAGTAAGGAACATTACCTCTCCTTCTGTGGTAAGGGCAATGGTGTGGTGGGAGCCACAGGCCACTTCGGTAACCCTCTTGTTCTGCAGGTTGGTGGAGACCAGGGCGGGGATCAGCCCATGGACGGTGGTCCCGTTGCCCAGCTGACTGTAGCCGTTGTGGCCCCATGCGTACACCTCGCCCTCTACGCAGAAAGAAGAGTTTCCTTTTTCCAGCCTGCTCGCTATCATTAGCTTTGTCACGCACTAACCATTTCAGCATGAAATGAGCATTCCTGTGCCATTAATCTGAGTCAATTAACGAGACGGTCATTAACATCCAAGTATGGACAGAAAGTCATGTTTATTGACGTTGGCCCTTTAAGATAGGTCCACATTTCCCACTGTGGAACTGAAGGAGAGTACCCTGCTCATGCTGGCACAAAGCAACAAAATGGTCCACAATAATAAACGTTTAAGCCTTTCGCATGTATTTTTGTGACACAATCAGGTTCCGGGTTACCCGAAGTGGCGATGACCACGTGCGGTCCGGTTCCGTAGCTAAGGGACACGATCTTCTTCCCGCAGAGGACATCGATCCTGCGTGGCTCGATGGTGCTCTGCAGGTCACCGAGGCCTAAGCAGCTGCTACAGTTGGTGCCCAGACCGAAGACCTGCGCGCAGACAAGAGGGCACCGCATTTCAAAATGCGGTGGTGTAATGAAGCAGACGTTGTATGTGCGTGTGTGTGTGTGTGTGTGTGTGTGTGTGTGTGTGTGTGTGTGTGTGTGTGTGTGTGCTTTTTGTGCTTGTTTAATAAACAGCAGAAAAGTTGCCGACTGTGGCTCTCCTTTCCCACATGCAGAGGGCATTGAAGTAATTCAGTAGGCTATAAAGTAAAATTCACTACTAAAGGGGTAAAAGGTGTCCCTTGGCGGATATTTTGATCTGATTTGCCAGCAAAAATGTGAGATATGAGCGTTGAGCTAACTTCAAAATATGCAGCAGTGCGTGCTTGCTTCAAGCTGTTCACTGCCACTCCGACTTGACGTTTACTTTAAAACTGAACCTAAAATCAAGAGAATCCCATGTTATGTATTTCACCATGCCACATGCAGGTAACTTTGCCTTAGGGAAGCCCGCTTGCTCACTGCTAACCCACAAAACAAAATTCCATTGAAGGGCTAATGAAACGAGCTTCAACGTTACAGTAGTCAAAAATCTTGAAGCAACATATGTTTGAACACAAAGAGTGCAGCAACATACGCAGGAGTAGCAGGATTGCCTACTGGCTTCTCATGATGCACAAACTGATTAATTCTTTACATTTTATTTAATTATGTTTTTACTGTATGTGTCTATAGAATCGAATCCTGCTATTCAAGTGCTTTGTTGGCGTTCTTGTGGGGTGACTGGAACGGATTAACTGCATTTCCACAGTTTTGTGGGGAAGGGTGTCTTGACATACAAGTGTATTCAGTTAAAAGCATGCTCACGGAGAAATTACAATCAAGGCACCACACTTCTTTCCAAAAGGGCCAGTTGTACATTTGTTAAGTGTTTTGCCATCTTGCACTTCAAAGCATCACGGTGCTGTGATTTATTTTCAAACAACATTGTTTGTCAGGACAAAACAAATTAGCAAGGATGAGCCGGTCACACCTCCACCCTCCTCCTGCTCTGTCTAGAATTAGGTCCTGGTGTCTAAAGATAGCGCCGTTCCATCTGCTTAACCTTCCCGCCCGGCCCCTGCACGTCGCATGCATGCATCTGACACCTGGCTCCACACGGAGCACACAAGGCAGAAACTCGCCGCTGTTACCTCGTCGTTGACAGTGACATAGAGGGCTTCGTTGGCGCCGCTTCCGAAAACGCACGCCTGCCGAATGAGGCCGAGTTCCTCAGGCGGGAGGAGGGCAAACACTGGCCACTTCCCCACGTCCAGCATGCCACTCGTACAATCACTGCGGCACAAGTAAGGGATGTAAACAGCAAACAAATATGTTCCAGATAAACAGTTGCGAATTTTTGAGATTAAACTTGCAATAGCACAAACTTGAAATCATTATACAACGAACCGAGGCAATTCACTGACAAGCAAAAATCTGCAAGTAAAAACATAAAAAGGTTTGAGATGGTGGCAAAGTACAATTTGGAACTAAATGAACTCACAACTCACATTATCATACTTCCTTGTCACCGCGAATGCAAGGAAAATTAATATGTGGCTCCTGCGCCTTCGGTTATATCTTGATATGTTCAATATAATGTCTGTGAACGAACAACTAATGGAGTGTTGGTTGATTCTCGACTCTTAATTTTTTCTATGCATTGGACCTATTATAAAAAAATATATACACATCAATAAGTCATTATTTTTGCCTTCTTCGCTCAATTTTATTCCTGCTGTATGACTTAACATTTGTGCATTGTTATTTAACTAAAATGAGGCTTTGTGGTTATTGACTGATGGAAATAGCAATTTAATTTTCAATGTAGTTTTCAAATTTGTTATGCTGAGATTTACCGACAGTTTCCTGGAGCGACTGGAATCACTCAAGCAGTCAAAACGTTCTGAATATTTGTCATAAGAAATCATGTCTAAAAGACCTGCTGAATAATGATGCTCGTTCCAAGTACATCAATTGATCTTTGAACATTTACGCACAAACCTACTTAGTTTACATATGTCACTAGCGAAGTTCAAACACCGTAACGCTTGACGTCATCAAGTTGTTCTGACGTTGGCAAAATATGAACGCTTTCCTTCACTGAACCCTTAGCAACACATGCTACACTTGTGAAAAACAAAAAGCTTAATGCACTTTCCCAGTCGCAATAGTCAGTCCATTAGTTCGAGATGCTAAGATAAAACAACGTATTAAAAGGGCTAAGCTAATTAGCATCACGTGTAGTGTTGTTCACTTTACGGTTACCTTGCTTATTGGAGACGCAAAATAACTAAAGTACTTGGTTCTTCCGAGACGCCGTCTACTAGTTGGCCGCGGGGCTCGTAAAATTATCCTGGTGGTCACAAATTTAGCATGTCAAATGGGCGACGGGTTCATAGCGAAAGCAGTTTGTTAACAGCGCAATCTGCAATTGCTACTACACATTAGATCGTCGGAGCTTCGTTAGCTTCTGCCCGGTAGTGTTACTTCCGGCATCATGAAGGGACGTTCAAAGACATTGCGAATTTTGCAGATGTAAACAATCGAATGTAAAACAATTACACGCCCATTTGAAAACAAAAACTAACAAACACAAATAAAAAAAAAACTACAACTATCAACATGACCTATTTAGTTTCGTAACTGACGTACGTATCATGACTTTACTTCCTTTGGATGCTGCCGAGTGCGTAATCGAGTGGTGCTACTTCCGGCTTCTAAACGGTACATTCAAAGACATCAAGGGTTTTCTTGTTTTATTTCAGCGGTTGGCATGAAACTGTCAGGTGTAACATCACGGGGAGAACAAAATCTACCTACATTTAATTTGAAACATTTCAATTAATCTAAATAATTTTTAAAAATGATTCTAAGTAATTTTTTTGTCTATTTTTCTTCTTGATTAGATTCTCTCTCTCTCTCTCTCTCTCTCTCTCTCTCTCTCTCTCTCTCTCTCTCTCTCTCTCTCTCTCTGTTTCTCCCTCTCTCTGCTTCTGTGTCTCTCTCTTTCTCTTTCTCTCTGTCTGTCTGGCCATTATATAAATATAAATTATAGTAACAGCAATTTACTAATTCTGTTGTACAGTAATGATATGAGACAACAAATACTGTACTCTAATTTTGGCGTACAATCAGGTTACCACCAGGAGGCACTGCCACCGATCTTGAACTGCCATACTGGTACATTGGATGATTTATCAAATTTCTTTGAAGATAAATTTTCTGTGACCTTAATGTGGATTTTTTGAAAACGAAATAATATTAAAATGCATCGCTCAAATGATCACACGTATAAAGTCAGTGTATGTTTTAATTGTGTGGGTGACTTCGGATGAAAAAGAACCTGAACAAGGAACATAACAAACAAAACATAACTACATATGTAATTTCTGTCTTTTAATGTACACTTTCTGCATGCTGTTTAATCAAATTTCAGTTTCGTTGAATTGGTTAGAATTCCTGTTGACGTGAAAGGTTTTTTCCCAGCCCAGTTTCAGCCGCTAGTCAGACTCGATTGACACTTGTCACAGTGAACCAGCCCACACGTCTACAAAAGTTTCTTCCAAGAAAAGGTACCATGGAAAACGTCGGAATCGAGCGGATATGTGACGACATTTGTACGTTTAGCGCTATTTAAACGGAGCCGTCAACGCTTCAATTTACTTTCTATATAAATTGGAGCTTCGCCATGATTTGCTGTAACGCGCATGCGCACAGAATCGGACCTTAAGCGATGGCGAAATTCCTGCTTTTTATGCAAGGAGGACCAACCTGGGAAGCCAAGTTATCTCGATAGAATTGACCACTTAGGTGAGCCTTGACCCAATTAAACGGTCTTTCGGCTTCACTCGGAAGCCTTTTGAGACGAAAAAGAGAGATGAGGGTTTAAAAAAAAAAAGAAGCTTCGTCTCGTTCACTATTAGCAACGTAGCATCAGACGGCTAACATTAGCATGTCCCCCAACTCTCTTCTTATTTGGCTTGTTGTTTTGTAATCGCGAGCGCACACTTGTACAACTGTTGTTGTTTTTTTCTTTCGTCCAGGTGGTGTGGGAGGGTTCGCACCGAGGGGGAAGCTGCTCCTCTTTGCAGCCCGCTGACGTGGACGGCAGAAGGAGAGAAAAAAAAGGCGACAAATTTCAGTGCGGTGCATCGCTTTATCGTCCAACAACCGTCTGATTGAGTGAGTAACGTTAGCTGCTCTCTTTTGACACTACACACTTCCCCCATTTACCATGAGTCATCGTTTAAAGCAGCATTTGGAAATAAAGTGACATATACAAACGGTTTGCACCTGCTAATGGTTCCCGCAGCCTGCGAATAATAATATGACACCTGTAGCTAGAATAATCATAGGGCTTGGCAAAACAAGTAGTCCTGTAGAAGCACTGCAACCGATAATTGCGAAAGATGCGAAACCGAAATTGTAAAAATAAATAAATAAATAAAAAGATCACCAATGATGACAACACAAGTGTGGCGTAGACATATTAATGTATGTCTATACTATACTGTAAATCAGTAAGAAATCAAAGTAAAGCGCATATTATAACCGTAATGCAAACAAATCTGTGGCTTTAGCACTTCAACATATCCCATTTTTCATGTTGCGTGAAGCATGACATGCAAACACGTGGACTGCACTTCTTAAACACTCAGCGTATTTATCTTCATCAAAATAAACACATGTAAATAGCCTACATTGAAAAACAAAAACATCCTGGCGATCTTCAGTAATGTCACGCATGCTAAAGTAGGAAAAGTAAGATTATACTGCTTATATGAAGTAACGTTTTCCGATTTCAACAACCAGCAGCCTGCGTTGAAAGCGGCGATGGCTGCGCCTCATTGATTAAATGACGAGCAATAAACAATCCGTCTGTCTTCATTTTCATTCATGAAATCAGACGCCACATCATATGGCCACCTACAGATGTATTTATCCTCGGAATGTATGACAATTTATCAGGGCGCTTTCATTTTCAAATCATTTGGGCGGAGAATATGTCAGTAATGCCCTATGTGCAAACCTCAGAAACACATCAGTCAAACTTTTATTGTACATGTGCGGCACACATTACACTGTTGTGGTTGCGCACACGACAGGTCGTCTATTAGCACAGGCACTACAAGTATTTATCAGCCTCTCTCTCTCTCTCTCTCTCTCTCTCTATCACATCATCACAATTACGAGAATGAAGTTGTTTGCTTTCAAGGTTACAGTGGTTGCATTATGAGAGTAAAGTTGTCTATTTTTTTTAGATATAAAGGTGTGTGTGTGTGTGTGTGTGTGTGTGTGTGCGCGCGCGCGCGCGCGCGCGCGTGTATATATATATAATTTTTTAGGTTAATGTCAAAATACGAAGACAGCTGGAGTGAGAATACACAGGTCTTGGCAAGACAAAGTGGCAAAAATAATTAAAAGTCAAACTCAGGGAAAATTAATATTAGGGCCACACTAATAGGAAAAAAAATAATTACAACTAATATTCTTTTAGGATAATGAATATTCTTATAATAAAGGTGTATATTTTTTAAGATTACAGCTGTAATATTACCCAAATAAAGTCATATATTTTCAAGATAATGAGTCATATATATTTTTGTTAAAGGACATTCTATTATAAGAATAAAGTCTCGTGGAGGAAAATATGCATTTTCAAGAAAAAGGTCTAAAAATGTCTTTTTGTTTTCTAGATTCAGTTTGTAATATTCCGAGAATAGTAGTATTTTTCCAGGAAGCTATTTCTGACATTTTCTTTTTTTTTTTTCAGCTGTAAAGTTGTAAAATTACAAAAATGAACTTCTAGATTGAAGTCATGTTTTGCTAGACAATAATATATTTTCCCAAACAGTCATCTACAAAGTCACATTTAAAGATTAGGCATAAAATTATTGTTTTGTTTTCCAAAGTATTACACGTTTTTTTTTTGTGTTTTTTTTTTAGATTATTCGTAATGTTATGAGGGAAATTTGCTTTTTTTGGGGGGGGGTGTGGGGGTGAATGATTGAAAGCCATGTTTTCCAAATGCAAAGTCTTATATATTTGAATAAAGTTTCAATATGATGGGAATAAAGTACGTGACAACTGTGTGGCACCAAACCTCATAGTTGCACTGAATAGCATTATAAGTAGGTGCATAACAGGTTTCAGCCAAACCATCCAGTAGTACCTGAGAAGTAGCCTTAGCAGTGTAATGACGTCAATCTATTACAAAATCCTTATAACCATCTTTTTTTTTTTTTTGGCGGGGGGGGATCATTTTCATATGACATAATGGGTTCAAATGCAGTCTGTTTTGTACGGTGCCATTGCGTGCTCTGAAAGACGCCCATCAATAAAATGAAATGTTTTTATGATTATTTTCACTTTCACACTGCGTGTTATGAAACTGAGAGCCACGTGTCACTTATTTCTGTCAGGTGCAGTCCACACTCCTCAATGATGATATACATTGGTCACATTTTAATCCAGCTCTTGACATGTGAGGGGACACGCATTTCCTCTTTTAATTGCGAAAGCAGGGATGGAATCAAGTCACACAAGTAAATCTCAAGTTGTGGCATTCGAGTCTCAAGCAAGGCTCAAATCTTTTTGTCACTTAACCGTTTTTTTTTTTTTTTTAATGAACTAATTTCAAAACCACCCTTAGCCCATGCACTCTTTTTAACCTATTTAATTTTCAAATCATATTCATCCCAAGTTCCGTTTTTAGCAGATTTATGCCTGATTTTAAAACCAACTACTTTATTTACTCTCTTTGTAATCCACTGTTTCTAACTATATCGATAAACAAAATAGACGTGCGGCTTGAGAGTCGACGCCTGAACGTCAGCCGCCCTCAAATTTTTGCATCTGATCAAACTGGATCATCAATGCCTTTGTGTGAAATGTGCTTTTTTTTTCGTATTATTATGCGAAAATATATTTTTTACAAACTACGTTGATTTCTCTATTAGGCCTCTCGCACACCAACCGATGCAGATAGAGAGGCTAATGAAGAGCATTAGCGTCGCGGTGGAATAACCTGCAGGCAATGGATATTTGATTATGAACGGTGGAGCACCACATGTGGGGAGACAATATAATAATACTCGCCAGCATATATTCTTGATCCTCTGAAGAATGACTGATATTACTGTGGCTTTCTGAGGGGTGATGTTCTTATCTTTACATCTGCATTGCACTGCCCCCTGGAGGCCAAGTCACACGCACCAAAATGAGCAGAATTGAAATGACATGCAAACCGTTTACAATCGGGGGTGAGTGTGGTTGGCGGGGGTGTTGGAGCCTGGAGCGGATTAATGGCATTTCCATTCGTTTCCCTGGGGGAACATGATTTGAGACACATGTGTTTTGAGTTCCGAGTGTTGCCGCAGAACAAAAAAAAACAAACAAACTTGGATCTCAAGGCACCACTCTGGTAAAGTAGAAATACGACATACAGTACCGCAACATGGCTTGGCAGTGGGTGGCCGGATCTGGCTCGGTACCCGGAAATGTAATTTTGCAACGTTGCGGCGCTGTTTACCTGTATTTCAAATCTCGAATCGCAGCGCAGTCAAAGCATGCCAAAGTGTTGGATTCGGAGAAGGTGTCAGGTGTTGTATTGATTTTTGGACTGTTGCGTAACGTCAAAAAGTCGGCGGGCCAGCTGATTGCAGGCGTCGGGGGCCAAAGAGGCGCTCTGCGGGCAGGCCTTCCGCCCACCCCTCGCATTTCAGTTCATTGACCGTCGCATTGTAAACGCAGCCGTGTTGTTTCAGCTTAAGACTGGGAGGGGCTAAAGCGAACAGATAAGCCAGATCACTGTGAGCTTTAGGAGCGCAGGCATACCGCACTGTAATTAGGTTCAAGGACATACGATTCATCTCTCTCACTGGCATTTTTTGGAAAAGTTTCACATATTCTGTCCTCCACTGAAAGCCTCCTCATTGTTTTTTTTCCAGAATGAATCCTATTACGCATGATTCAAGTACCTTACCTGAGTGGTCTTGAGCTGGTGTGCAATCGCTCTCAGTTGAGCAATGTGTGCATTTCCTTCAGTACTTTTTCCAGGCTGATTGATTTGATCCTCTCAATGGAAAGTAGAAATGAGCCCTTGATAACTAGAGTGGTCTAACTCCACAATCTTGTCTCTTTTTGCATTGACACCATAATTCTATTTTTGATACTATACCTGTAGAACATACCTTGACATTCGTCCTGAAATGATACCGTGGCAAACACCTAAAACATCAGTAAAAGGCGTGGACTCAGAAGGCAAAATATGCAACTTCAAATTTGTGATAATATTAACCCTAATATTGGGGAATGGAGAATGTGATGTACGTTTCCTTTTAATACAATTAAATGGAGAATTGACACACAGCCACTCTGGAAGCAAAACAGTAAATGACGCGGTATCTACAGTTTTTATAGACGCCGGTACTCTTTTCGGACCGCTGCATCATGAAACCTAACAAATGACATGTCTGTGGCAGTAAATTCGCCTAAAGTAAACACTGCGCCTTTGTTGCAGGAGACCCTCTCTAGTGGTGTGAATGAGGGAAACATGGCAGACCACACCCCGCCTCTGGAGTCCGGCCAGCTTCTCAGCCCTGAACTCCCCATCCTGGCGTCACCTCCGCCTCCAGCCATGGTCAACGGGGATGGCCCCCAGCAGGTACACTCACGCCCATTTCACATTGTCGCTGAGGGTCCCCCATTTTGCCCCCTTTCTATCCCTTTGAATACCACTGGATCTCATATGCGAGTAGGCGTATCCCTGGGGGTACAGTGCAGTGAAAAAGTATTTAAAATCCAAACCTACTTGTCCCTGTGTGAAAAAGTAATTGCCCCCTGAACCTAATAATGGGTCTTGCCACCCTTGGCAGCAATAACTGAAATCAAGTGTTTGTGATAATTGGTGATGAGTCTTTCACATCGCTGTGCGGGAATTTTGGCCCACTCTTCTTCGCAGAATTGCTTCAACTCCGCCATATTGTAGCGTTTCATTTTCCATAAGAGAAGTACCAAAACATTCAATAGCTGCTACTCAACTTTCTGCAATAAGTCAGTTTTCACACAGCCTGTATAAGTCGTCATGTTCCCTCATTTTTTTTATCCCCCGTGTCCGTCAACGTTGTGGGATGTCAGCATGGAAGAAGCCAGTTTGCGGCACTGCAGTTATTTATAGAAGTGTCTGACGTCTTCTGCAATTTGAGGAGAGATGTCAATTTGCAGAATGTTGCACGCACAAAGTGTTTTATTCTAAATTGGGTCTGCAGTATGGGTAGTAATGGGGTATATTAGGTTGGAAAATCTTCGGATTAGACGAACCTTCGTCACGTCTTCGTCAGTCTGATATTGAAGAAGTGTCATCATAGCATATACAGTACTCACTAATCAGATGAGAGCTGCTCAATTTGTCATCTTGTGAAACCTGACGCGCCCGGCCAATTGTTTCAGATGCTAAAAACATGCAGATTACTCAGAATCACTCCTGAAACACCTCAACCGGATTTGATGACGAATTTCTCGAGAAGCAGATGTGCGTCTGTTAACAAGCACAGCTCCCTGAGTGGGTATCGTATAATGTAGCATTTTTTTGGGTGAGGGTGAGGGGCTTGTTTATTTTACGTGCCAATTTAAGTGAGACCGAGTGGCCGTGATGTGAGGGCTGTCGTTATTGGCTGCCATGATTTCTGCAACTTCCCAAATAGCGCGCGGTTCGTATATACCCTACTGCTTTTTCCATCGTCACTTCCATCTTGTGCAATTTGTTCAGATAAGGCTCACTAATATTAGCCACGGTCCATGTGGCTTTCCAGCCGTCCTGTCATTTTCCACAGCGGAAAAAAAAAAAAAAAGTCATGCCGCGCCGCGAGGGTGATCTCACGGAATTCGGCTGCCTTGTTGACGGAGAAAAATAAGAGGTCGCCCGATTGCCTGCGCACGTCACGCATCCGTGTGCTTAACGTTTTATGCCAGCCAGAGGAATAAAAACACGGTTTTACCTTCCCGGTTGACGTCATCGCCGCACCTCCTGTTCGGGCCAATTTGAGCTGCTGCGTGTGCATGACTGCTGAAGGGCACTGAAATGTGTTCTCATGTGGCGTAATAGCACGTATCTGATAACATGACTGTGTTTGTCTTAACGTACAGACAGTCACCTCCCTTAGATGTGTCAATATTTAAATCAATGATTGACAATGTGACAAACAAAACACCTTGACATATTTCCGGAAATAGTGGCCAGGGAGAATTAGATCAATCAATTGCACTTATTTGGAATCATATCAAAGAAATAATATTGGGATAGGGAAGGAGCCCTGCGCCCTTACTGTTGAGAGGCTGAATTTTGAGAGGATTTTGACAGTTTTTTAAAATCCCACAAGGTCTCAGAATGATTAATCAATGAGTTTGCTCATCGTTTAGGTGTCGATAAAGTGATTCATCCATGCACTTCGAGCTGTCGCAGTTACATACGGGAACGTCACACTAAAATTGAGATGGTTTACGTCCCGCTGTTTTCTTAGCAAAACAGTCAAGATGTTCAGATTCACACTTGGTGCCCATTTTTGTCCTGTTGACATTCAAGGCGGCATCTGTTTCAGGGATTAATGAGTGAGGCATTAATATTGGAGGAAGTCCGGTAATTCCTAATCCAGTCGATTTATCGTAACCGTCACATTTTGTGTTTTAGGAGCTTTCCGCCAAAGGTCTGAGGTGTGTACATATCACGGCGACTGGACCCAGTGGGGTAGTTTGGGCCTGACAAAACAGGGCAGGGCTGCCGTGACGCTGAAAATCTGTGACGGCTTCACAAATCCGACCCCTCCGCTGCCCCCGCCCCCCAACCCTCGCTGACCTTTTACTTTGACAAGCTGCAAGGACACTTCCACCTCCGTTCTCCCGCATCCAGTCTGGGCTGCCGCGTATTTGCGCTCAACTGGAGCGGTGATTGTGAGTCAGGGACGAAGCCACTGTCATGGGGTCATTACCTGGGATGATTAGAGATCACTTTGTTTACAGCGTGATTCACCGCTTCCGTCCATTAACTGTACCCCCACGCCCTGGAAGGTCTTCCTGCGGTTGCTAGTGAAAGTGGCGACAGATGAATCTCTGTAAATTTTTAAACCTAGCTAATGGCTCGTGGACTCGGTTGCTTTGATTTAGTTGATGGTGTGCAGTTGACTTTATTTTTCAACCATTGTGCTCACGGCTTCTCATTCGACCCAAGGTTTGAAATAAATGGATTCGCTGCACAATTTGAAAGTCAAAATTACCGTTTGGCAGCTCCTTGAAACAGATTGAAAAGCAGAGAGAATCAGATGTTTTTTTTTTTTTTCCTTAACAGTTGAACCGCAGAGACGTTTTCAAAAAGCTTTGCTTTTGCTTGCGTCACATATTCGCGGGAAGCAGGATGCAAAAGCTATTTTTAATTATTAATTTATTTTTGTCAGTCTGGGTGGCTCAATTGCAACCTGGATTATTTATTGATTGATTGATTGATTGATTGATTGATTGATTGATTGATTGATTGATTGGGCGACGTGACCTCAGTCCGAACGGAATGGTCGCATGCATCCATCTCATCTCTATTTCATCCCTGCACTTTGAATATTTTATTCTTGGACACTATTCTTCTTGTCAAGTCAAAAATGACCTTGTAAATATCGGGTGAAATTCAATTCAACTTAAAATATAACTTAGTCAATGAAAGTAAAGTAAAATAAGAATATATCAAAATCATGCCAATTAAAAAGTAAGCAATAAAAATAACTACCAGCTCTTGCTGGTGTGTGTGAGTTGGCCTCTTAGGGGCAGTATGGTGCTGTGCATGAAAGGAGTACACGCTTAGAATGAGAAGAAGAAAATCTCGATTGAGGTCGATAAATAGAACTCGTTTTTTTTCATAGAATAGGCAGTCGATGTGCCTTTGGGTGTTATGTGTTCCCTGCAGCGTTTGTGTTTTGAATATTTGTTATTTGAACGAATATCCGTCACAGAATTTTATGCCAATTACCCATTCGCGTATCAATGGGATTTTGCATTGACTTTAGCATTAGCATTGGCGATCTGTTTCAAATGAAGGATGTACTTATTTATTTTATCATTAAGCATCTTAAAGCACACTGAGGAGAGGACAGACTCACATCTACGTCACGCACGCTTACTGCACAAGAAACGGTTCACTTTTGATGAATTGCCCAACCCTGGGTGTGAGTCAGGCGAGCATAATTGATCGCATTTTAATTGTGATCATGGTTTTTCGCTGCCATGATTAAAGTGACCCGATTGTCGCTGTTAGTTGCACTTCAATTGCAGTCTGGGCGGCATAATCAAGCCTTTGTGCAACCACCGGGTGATCAAACACATGGTGAAAGCTTCCTTTAGATGCCTAAGTAACCATCAAGCACACCCTGCAGTGGGAGCCTTAAAGTCAGTCGGTGGCCTGATGAGCCTCAAGTCAAGAGAGGAAAGTACAGCAAAAATTAGAGATTCAGGTGCCTCATGGTGAAAAGCGAGTGCCTCCAAAGGGGTCAACGTCCACAGACTGGACTTTGTAAAGATACTCTCTCATGGTATATTTAGTATTTATTCTTTCCGAGTTTACCCCCCTGACATCTTATTTACTCAATGTTTATGGAATAAAAATATAGATGTTTTAATAATTATGATTACAGAAGTGCTCCAAATAATTGATTCTCTTTTTGGCCATCATCGTGTGTGTGTGTGTGTGTGTGTGTGTGTGTGTGTGTGTGTGTGTGTGTGTGTGTGTGTGTGTGTGTGTGTGTGTGTGTGTGTGTGTGTGTGAGAGAGAGAGAGAGAGTGGCGAGGGTGAGTCGGTGCGCATGTGGGAGAGCCCCCTATTTGGCACCTATTTTGTGGAGGTGGCCAGCGTGTGACTCAGCAGTGTTTTTTTGGACACTCCCTTTTCTTGGCCAGAGAGAGAGAGCAGGGACATTTTTCTCTATCACATTTTGGATCTAGTTTCAGGAAAGCCCAGACACACCAATGTCCAAACAAAGCAAAATCAATGTTTTCTTTTGTTTGTGTGCAAAGAAGCTTTATTTCTGGAGCACGTTTCATACAAGGGGCAACTTGTATGGCAGCGTCCCTAAAAGAATGTACAAACAGCATCTAATGACATTCAAAAGCGAAGTAGATAAAATTGCTCAATGAACGTACATTGACATTTAATCAACTCTAGGCTCCACGAATTGTTGCGTGCTCTTTTAATGTTCCATGTAAATTTAAAGTTTGAGTGAAAACATTGACAGAAAATCTAAAAATAAATGCCAGAAGGATGCAAAGAGGTGACTTGATGAAAAGTGAACCGCAAATGGGCATCACTGGACTTTGAGCCCAGTGTTAATAGCATGCTCATTTTGTCTAACGATGCATTAAACCGATGACTCGTCCCGCGCCACGCAGACGGGCACAGTTTGACGTCCTTCATGCTCATTGATGGGAGCATCTCATCGGTGGTTTGTTGCTAAAAATATCTTTAATCTCGGGCTTTATAACACATCTCGGAAAGATTCTTCCTTTCCAATGATGTTATTCAATCATCTGTTTCCCAGGGATGATGAAATGGGTTTGAATCATCAATCCTCGCACACGCAAGACCGTGGCCGGTTTGTCCCGAAACTGGCAGGCTCGTTTATTTATTTATTC